ACTAAGGTCCTTGCACTTGCCAAGCAAGTGCTTATTCTACTGAGCTATCTCCCCGCACCACCCTTTTTTTTTTTGTATTTCAAGGAAGGGTCTACAGGGTGTTCAGGGTCTCACTACTAGATCGGACTCATAGTGATCTGCCTGTTTACAGCCTCCCAAGAGCTGGGATTACAGGTGTGCACCACCACGCCCAGTCTCTATTGCAGTCTCAGTGCGCCCCCGGGGGTGGGGCCAGCCCAGCAGCCCCTGTGCCTGCTTGCAGGTGCTTTAATCTGGCTGAGCTATTTGGCCAGCCTTTTAACTTCATTTAGTTTTTTTGGGGGGGTGGGGTTGTTTTTGGTTTTTTTGGGTATTTTGGGGTTTTTTGGTTTTTTTGTTTTTGGCAGAACTGGGGATTGAACTCAGGCCCTTGCGCTTGCCAGGTTAACTTCCTTTGGATTGAGTACTTTTCAAGCTTCCGTGGTGTCTCCTCTCCTAATTTTATTGCAATGCTTATTTGTGTTGTTTTGCATAATTGCTCTAGGAGTAGCAATTTGTGTGTTTGGCTTATCACAAATTAGTTCAATTAATAATATAATACTGTAGGTACATTAAACATTTATAATTACATTTTCACCACTCCATTCTTGTGTTATTACTTTTTTTTTTTTTCCAGAACCGGGGATTGAACTTCTCTTGCGCTTGTCAGGGAAGCGCTTATTCCACTGAGCCACCTTCCCGGCTCCTTATGTTATTACTGCCTTATATTATTTTCCTACATTTATTATAAACCCTATAATACATTTGGGTGATGGGGAGTACTGGGGATTGAACCTGAGTCCTTGTGCATGTTAAGCAAGTGCTCTACCACTGAGCGGTACCTTCAGCTCCATACTATTACTAATGCTGTAAAAATTAATTTTCTTTTCTTTTTTTTTTTTTTTTGTATTTTAGTACAAGGTCTACAGGATCTCACTACATAGATTGGACTCAGTGATCCTTCCTGTTTTTCAGCCTCTCAAGCACTGGGATTATAGATGCACACCACCATGCCCGGTCTCAATCACCATCTCAGTACGCCCTGGGGTCAGGGCTGGCAAGGCAGGCTCTGGGATCAAACCTCTAGCTCTTGCATCTGCCTAAGCAGGCACTTTAATTCACTGAGCTATCTGGCCAACCCTGATTTTTCAAAGAAGTGAAGAAGACAAAGTGTAGTGACCCTGAGCCGGGGTTGGTGGCACATTCCTGCATTCAGCACTTGGGAGGCTGAGGCAGGAAGATCACCAAGGGCTCAAGGCCAACTTGAGCTATGGTAGTGAGTTCAAGGCCAGCCTGGATGAGACCATATCTAAGAAAAAGAAAGGAAAAAAGTACAGAGGGCCCATTGCATCCACAGGTTGTACCCACAAATTGCATATCCACATACTCAACCATGAGTCAAAAATTGTATCTCTATTGAATATATATAAAGTTTTATTATTTCCTAAATGATACTGTAAGAACTATTTACATGGAATTTACATTTCATAAAGAATTTAATTTTTCTTTTAAATTGTATTTAAATTTTCTTTACATATAAGAGAGTATTTGTAGTTTATGTGCAGCACCACATGTTTTTTGTTTGTTTGTTTGTTTTGGTTTTTTGTAGAACCGGGGATGAAGGACTTGAACATCTGTAGATTTTGGGACCAGTCCCCCAGTAGATACCCAAGAATGAATGTACTATTGTTTACTGTTGTGTTTACCTGTAGTATTGTTTACTGTTGTTTTTACCTTTTCTAATATGCTATACCTTCCTATAGCTCCAGATTCCTAGCCAGTATCTTTTCCCTTTAATCTGAAGAACTTCTTTTAGGGCTGGCCAGATAGCTCAGCAGACTAAAGCTGCCTACTTAGGCAGGCGCAAGGACCAGGGTTCGACCCCAGCATGCTGTGCTGCCCTGACCCTAGGGCATGCTGAAGGTGATTGAGACTGGGCGTGGTGGCACACGCCTGTAATCCCAGCTCTTGGGAGGCTGTAAACAGGTGGATCACTATGAGTCAGATCTAGTAGTAAAACCCTGAATACCCTGTAGACCCTTCCTTAAAATACAAAAACTAAAATTTTCTAAAATTATTTATTTATTTGGTACAGGATCTTCCTACACAACTCAGATTCATAGTAATCCTTATGTGTCAGTCTCCCCAGTGCTGGGATTACAGGTGTGTGCCACCATGTCCAGTTAAACTCTTTATTTTTAATTTTTGAAAGGTATTTTTGCTGGACCTGATAGCAAACACGTGTAATCCCAAAAATCTGGAAGGCTGAGGCAGGAGGATTACAAATTCAAGCCCAGCGTGCGCATTTTAGTGACCATCTTAGTCACTTTCTGTTACCATTGGGTCCAAATACCTAATGTCTGCAACCCAAAGGAGGAAGGGTTTGTTGTGGCTCATGTCTCAGACTATGGCCGGCAGTCTCTGAAGATGAAGAAACAGCATGGCAGAGGGGTATGTCAGGAGCAAAGCTGCTGGGGTCCCGTCTACCAGGCAGCATGGAGCAAAGGGAAGAAGGGAGGCAGATAAACTCTTCCAAGCCACACCCCCAGGATCAGCCTCTTCCAGTCAGATCCCGCCTCTTAGCAGCAAACCAGCTGTAAACCCCTATAATCCAATCACC